TTAGCAAGACATATTCAGACTTGTCCATTCGATGTCGGACTGTGACAAAAGTGCGCACTGTTCTGTGGGGATACGGGAGGCACGAAGGTTCCATGCTCAGTATGGCTCAGTGATGAACGTCTGGATTGGGAAAAGACCACATTTTTGGACGGATGATTGGCACCTGGGTTTGGACCCAGTTGAATACATACTCTGTACTCATTTTACCTTATATTTCGTCTATAGAATAAGACGTGTTTCACAAAAAAAAAAACTTATCAACATTACAACATTATTTAGCATCATTTTCCACAAGTTCCATCAGATTCCCAGTATTTTCCAACCTTTTCCATATATACCATGGTTTTTTCTATCCCGTTTCAGCGTTTCCCCACCTCCAAGGTGGCCCTTATGCACCCACAAGGGCCATCGGTGGATCAAAAAGCACACCATGTCTTGGGGCCCGGGACATGGGACAGATTTTTTGCTCAGAATGAGATTTCATTCATCATTTAGTTTATTACATATTCTCAAAAAGGTTCAAAAATAGATCCAACCTTCAAGTCAGCAATGTACAGGATGTTTCTAAGCTTCCGGAATTTGGATGGGAACATTTACAGTTGAAACCTCTATGTCTATGTGTGTTTCCCCAAGCCGCGCATGGTGCCAGGATGGGGCAACTGCTGCTGGTTGTGGCGAAGTTTACGGATGGCGACTATCAGCGCTTGGAAGGTGAAGGGTGCGCGTTTTCGTTGAGAGATTCTGACTCAATGGATTCATCGAAAAATGGTGGATTAAGTATGAAAAGTTATTGTTTAATGGGTTTGATCATCACAAATGGTGGTTTCAGTAATTTTAAGTATTAAAAATTGGGAATCCTGGGGATTCAGGTAATGATTTTGGATTTAATGCATTTCATATTTGATCAATTGGTTTAATGCCAATCTAAAGGAAGTCATGTCTTTTCTCCCCTTCATGGGGGAGCGATTTTTGGACTAACATTTCTTCAAAATACTTGTGTCTACAGTGTTTTGTGACAAAAGTAGGCTGAAAAACCTTTATTTTAGAGCAAAAACATAGAGCTCACCTCCAAAGGCTATCATATGTTGTCATAAATCACTGGCATCTACAGATTCTTGTGACAGGATTCAACTTTTCCTGTGGGGCTTGCAAAGAATTACAGGCAATCAACACGTAAGAAAAACCATTTGCTGCATAACATGTCATAAGAATGGGTAGCTGTGCATCTTGGAACAGAACATACAGTAGCAATGGATATGATTTAGGGATTTTTTCGGATTAAGTTTTCCATAGTTTTCCATTCTCAGAAAGTAGTTGGATCAGACAAGACAACCACGTCCCTTTGGAGCTGACGGCAGGTTGCATCCAGTTTGGAAACCCCATCGAAAATGTCGAGGATCGATCGGAGGACGACCCTTCAGCTGAATTGATCCGATGAAGCGTGAAGTTCCGGACATGGTTGGAATATGTTGGAATCGTCGGATTATGTTGGAATTCACCTACATAAGTCATCATTATTTTTTTATATCCGGCCGGTGGTTTCAAACATTCTTAATATGTTTCAACCCGACTGCGATGATAATTACAAGTGAGGAACATATTCTTTAGTGTTGAAATTACCAACCAGATGCCATATTACTGTTTAAAACCCACTGACTCCATACCATGGAATATCAGGCAGACCACAACTGTCCAAAACGGTGCAAATAGTTTCCAGTCCAGAATATTTATGATATTATCATATATTTACCAGATTCAGATACCCTAATTGTCAGTTATCATCAAAACTATGGAATAAATAGTAATAGTATTCGGAATTTCTCGTGCGAGTCCGAGTTGTTCATTGTTTTTTTCCCATTAATGTCAACCATTATACATATATATTATGACAGTATAATGACACATATTTCAACCATACTACCCGATGGATCCAAGGTTAGCTTCGCTATTTCGGCTATGATTTGGTGGTTTCTTCTCTCGGAAGTATTTGGATAGGGCGAGCATTCGAGTTCATTCCCGTGGGATTGAACGATGTTTGTGTCGAAACAGTTCTAGGTTCCATCAATATGTCTTCCTATCAAAACAAACAAATATGTTTAGTGTCCACTCAACCCACCATGTTTCCAATGATTGAACCTGATTTCGTTCCGCCAGGAGACGGATCCGGTGGAACCGGTCCTCTTGCAGATGATTCAAGGGAAGCGCGTGGCTTGGTCAACGGATGTTCTGAAGCTAAAGTCATTTCCGGTAAATCAAGATAAATCAAGCTAAATTAAGGTATATCCATGTATATCAATGATATTTTAAAAAAATAACAGGATTTGCAAGGATAAGATATATTGAGTATCATACATCATTGTAGTACCTGGACCCTCCAAGTACCTCGAAAATTCTGGCAATATACCAATTATCTTGAGGACTTGTGGCAATTTTGATGGCTTGGAGGGTCTACGTTATGTTGACACTTGGGACACTCATTGTCCCCTTGAATCAATGCTTGTGTTTGCTTGTGCTTATCCATGGTTTTTGGGAACATCTTTACCGGAAACCATGGTTTTCCCATAGAAATATTGGGTTTCCGGCTTCAGTTTTGCCTTAAACCAATCCATTGATTGATCTCCTCATTTGGGGGTGCCAGCAATGCTACAAAAGAAGGCTTATCCGGGCCTTGAGATGGGTGAAGTTGGACTATATCGCCCGTTAAAATTCGCCAGCAGCATCTTTCAAACTCAATGTCCATCCCTTTTTCCACTTGCCAAGATATTTGGATGATGGATTTGGGTCGAGTTTAGTGAAAGTGTGTCGCTAACAGTACCTGGGGTGATGTTGTGTGCGTGTTTCTAATGCATACATCTACCATTTTGAGACTCTGCAGACTATAGGAACATTGCTTAATCTTTACATGCCGCAGTCGTCACTTTTGGCAGCCATCTCGCCAGGTGGGACTACAAGACCAGTTGCTAAAGGCAGCCCAGTGTCATGGTGTCATGGGGTACTTCGCTCGATTCAAGAGCTGCTAAAGAGAAAACTGCGCAACACAAATCGAGATACCACACCTTTCGATCTAGGTATCTAATGATATCTATGTTTTTTTTGGGTTTCCTTTGCGTGTTCCCGACTTTGAAGCATCAAAGACGCTGCAGTGCCTTGGTCCTTGGTCCAGATCCATCTTCCAGGAACGTCCAGATCTGGCAGAGGAAAAGGCCAGATTGGTCGAAGGTGCCCCAGGACGTGGGTTCTCAAGTCATGGATCCCCAGTCGTCACCATGGTTGAATGGCTTGGATCATTTTTCGGGACAAAACTGGAAACCTCCATTTTGAAGCATTTTGATACTTATGACGGAAAATGTACTTATGACTTTCCGATTTTCCGTACCGTACCCATCAAAATTGCTACTGTAAAAGTCCCAAGTCATAATGAGTATAGTAGCCCAGGTTCTTCTAGGTACTTGGAGGCTCCCCCAAAAGCGACAGCCCAATGATAAAAGTTGATTAAGGGCTCCTTAACCACCAGCCGCCACTTGTGAAGCATCGGGGTGAAATTCACCATCGACTCATCGCAGGTGCAAGGAGCAATTGGAAGTCACTGAGAATAAGATCCTGGATGTCACTGGTCAGCATATGTCAGCATGGGAAGCAGAGTCCAAATCACCAGAACAACTTCGTGGGACCACTGGGAAATTATTCCAAAATATCCTGTATATACTGTGTAATGGTAATACCAATGGTTATCCCATGTTATCAAATGGAAATTATCCTACTTCATTTTATCCAGACAATATTTATCCAGATTTGGAATCAGCTAACTGTTAACTCAAAGATTTTGTGGTTCCCAATGAATCAAATGGAGTCGGAACCTCAAAATGAATTCAAAGATTAGTTTATTAAAGTTGAAAGAATCTTGGTTCAAACGGTTCCAAGATTCTATGAGATGATGATGATTGGTGAACCACCTAATCATCGAACTGTTCAAAGAGATGATCGCCGGCTTCCTCAACTCCAAGGAGATTGGTCACGAAGATCATCAACCAGAATCCCATCATCCGTTCATATGAAACTTATTAAACACCCCATTTCTATGGTCCCAATGTGGAAATTCCCTACATCCACCATGGTTTCGTTTCGGGTGTGTTTAGTTTTTTTTGAACGGGGGAAGGGATTACAAAAAAAAACATCCCTTTCCATTCAGGATGAGCCACACTGTTCCAGGAGTAGGAGGATCTCGATGCAAAGAATCCACCAAGATTTCGCAGACCATTTTGGGGGGTTGGTATTAGGTAGGGGGATGCCATTATAGAATCAATAATCTAATCATCATAAAATCATGTTTGGTCCAATCACCGACTATATTGTTTAATTACTCCAATATACAATTGTGTATAATTTACATGTATTTTACCAGTATCTGTGATGCCATTCTGTCTTCACAAGTTCCATCACAATTGCTTCAATAAAATCTTGAATGTGATTCCCCAAAAAAATACTGGATATGATGGGATATACCATATAGTATTCTACCAGAATCTGTGATTCCATTCTTTCTTCACCAGTTCCATCACCAGAGTTCTTCACAGTTCACGCCTCAGGTTCTCAGGTTCTCAGTTCTTCCCAGGGCAACATCCTTGAAGATGAAGCTGCAGTGCAGGTCAGTAGGATCGTTGAATGAAGCCTCCAAAGGTCCCCCGTTTTTTTCTCAATTTGACCCTGGGATTTACTGGAAGTACCATGGGAATATAGTATAGTGGGATATGATGGGATATCTACAGATATACATCTATAATTTATGTATGCGATACCATGGATGGTTGCCAAATTCTACACCAGTTGAGGGATGTGGTAAAAGAAAACCGTGGGTTTCAACATGGTTCAACCATCCAAAGGTGGTGCAGGATTTCGCAAGAATCCACAGTTCATTTCTCAAAACAGTGGCTTAGTGGCTTCTTGAACAACAGTGGCTTCTATATGTGATTCTGCATTGACATGCAGTGTTTTTTGGGACTCGGACTACTCCCCTTATAACCTCTGGTAAACGTTTAACTATGGAAAACCATCACGTTTTTCATGGGAAAATCCACTAATGAAATAATGTTTTTATAGAACAATTGAATGTAAAACATGTCTTTTTCAGCTTTGAAAATATCGTTGCAATACTTTTATAAAATTTTCTGTGGTTCACATTGTGAGGTACACAATGAAACATATAAACCCGGAAAATCAATCAAATACAATGAACAGCACTTGAAAAAAAATGGAAATGCAATGAACATCTCTGAAGAAAAGACAATGAACAACGTTGAAGTTAAAACCAATAAAAACATTCAACAAACCAATGTAAACGGGTGACAAAACTTGGAAAACTATCGAAAAATCAAAAAAGCACAATGAACACATTAAAACCCGAAGGAACAATATTTAAAAAAAAAAACAACGAAAAAGCAAGACAAAACACTGAAAATAAATGAAGACACAATAATGAACATACTGTACTAAACAATGAAACACATCAAAAAAAATCAGAAAAACTAATGAAAAATAATGACAGTTGACATATATAAAACAGTTTATTATAATCATAGTTCATAGTAATTTTCTTTTTAAACAGACCATAACAGAAAAAAAAAAATCATAGTGATAATAGTAACATTTCACAGGTTCATATTAAATAGTATCATTAATAACATGTTATAACAGGTTGGAACAGTTATTATTAATAACTAGCCATGTTTATAATGATTAGTTCCTAATAATAATTAGAGGGTGGGAGACCATTAATTAATTAACCTAGCCATTGGCCCTGGCCCCTTTCCAGAATTGTTTGAGAGACCATTCATTGGCCCCAAGACTTGGCCCCAGGACTTGGACCTTCCGGTCCGGCTGGGGCTCGACAGACGATACAAGCGGCAGACGGTCGACCCCATGGTGAAGTCCTCGTTCACGAAATGCCAAAAATCGTGATGGAAATGCTGGGAAAATCGGATTTTTATATAAAAAAAAATAGTTTTTTCTATAAGAATCTTTGTAATACTTTTTAAACGTTTTTTAAAACCATTCAGTGGTTAGAACGGTTCATTTTCATGGCACTGACATTTTAAAGTTGATTTTCTTTAAAATGAAACATTGCCACAACATTGCAACAACAACATTGCAACAACAACATTTCCATGATTGTGGGCCTTGATAGAATTATACGTATGCAAAAATCGAACAAAGTCACTTAATGCCACTTAATGCCACTTAAGCAATGTCATGTTATCGATGTTATCGATGTTATCGTTCAATTCATTGATCTGATATGTTTTCATCTAATTTATCTACTGATCTCTTCGGGTCCCAGTTGAGGTCCTTTTGCTTCCAATCCATCACCTGTCGGGACTGTTGAATAGTTTTGATCGATTGTGTGCATCTACTCAATGATCTATTCCAATCAAAAAAAACATCAACATTTAGATGAAAATAGTTCGTGGCGTTGCTGGATCTTCACCCAACTTCCCCCAAATTCGTGACACGATTTGACCATTCCGCAGGGTCTTCTCATCCCATCTGGTGCCAGCCACAAGCAGTTTGACGAGTTGAACACTGGAAACTGATATGGTTATTGGACTCGTTATAAAGAATTTTACAGGACCATAACCATAAAAAATGAAAAGGTTGAACATCATTGTTTCAAATTTTCCTCGGTTTTTTCCTTGAATCATACCTTGATGCCTCCGGGCGCATCCGGGCGCCAGGTTCCAAACAGCCATCCTCGTGTTTTGCATCGCTGATGCCAACATTGCCACTGAGTTACTTCAGGGCAGGCTTGATCGGTCTCGCAACCCTTGGTTGCTGAAGCGAAGCCGTGCGTAATTTGAGAGTCTTCCTTTTGTGTCTGTGAATGTCATGATCATGTTTTCATCTTTCACTCCTGACTGGTCAATGAACCATCTGGCATTGAGTTTTCTGTCAAGCGTGGCTTCCTTGGGCCAACCAAAGATTGCTGCAAGCATTCCTGCTTCTTCTTTTTCTTTTTTTCTTTTTTTTGGTTCTTCTTCTTTTTTTTCTTCTTCTTCTTCTTCTTCTTCTTCTCTTTTTGAGTTCTTGTGCAATAGGTAGGCTGTTTGTCTTTGCACTGTTTCTGTCTTGTAATCGTTTTCTGCAATCTGTCCTTTCAGGTTGGCGATTTCTCTCGCGTGTTGTCGTAAATGTGCCTCAATGCTGTCGTCCTCTTTCTCCTCATGGGGGATTTGAATCCTCCTTGCCGGATTGGGGTTGCCGTCTTCATCCCATCGGAGTCATTTTGCCGCCAGATGCAACGCTGGTTCGTCATGCAACGCTGGTTCGTCACGCTCTGGGAGTCTTGTCTGTCTTGTGTTTGGATTTGTAGCGACTGTGACTATTGCTGCTTGACTCTTCTTCTGATTCTTGCATGTGTTCGTCTTCTTACCAAAGGTTTGCTTATCTTCTGTTCTCTCTCTATTTCTGTTTTGTTGCGGTCTGCCTGACCTGTCTCATTGAAATAATACAGTAGAGATGGGTGATACATCCAATAGATTCATATAGATTCAACATATTTGTAATCTATAGTTGGAAAATCCCTATTGGAAGATCCTGGGCCGCCATGCAGATGCCACGGCAGGCAGCTCTAAAGAAGGCCCAAGAATCCAGAGATATTGCGGCCTTGAAATTTGCGCTACAGCAGGCGGGGGATTGGGGTATAACCTATGTTATTGAAAGTTACGAAAATTATTTGAGGTTTATGTTGCAATGTAGACATGTGTGTTTAACACATTGAGTTTCAGAAAATCTTCGTTCATGTTGCATGTCTTTTTAGTTTAGCAAGATCTTTGCTGAGGAAAATAGAAGTCTGGCTATAATATATATATAATATATACATATATCAATTGTTTATGTTGGATAAAAGTTAGAGGTGCTAAGGATTCTCAAGGTAAGTCCATGCGTATTTTTGGCATCTTTGGGTGGAGGCGGAGGCGTTTTTTTTTGAGCGGAGGAATGAGTGGTTTACGGACATCCCAAGTCTCTGCCACCATCAGTGGCAGCGTTGTTCGTGCAAGGCCCCGAAGCACGAAGCCCGGCAGCAGATGGCCCATGGCCCAATTGGCCAAGGCTGGTCTCTTGAATTCCAAGTATGACCATCTCCCATCATCTCCCTGTGTCTCCAATTGATATTCAGAGCCAAACTTGACGGGAGGTGAACAATGCAGGTGAAGGTCCTGGCAGACCTCAACTTGTGAAGACCTCAGAGTTTACGCCCTTTGACTTACCCTCGGGGAGTAAACATCAAGTGATATCAAGTGTCAACATGATCATACATGATCCATTGGTCAGATTGGGCCAGGTGTTTGTACATGTTGAAGTGGATATCGCATGATATCACCCAGTGTGAGATCTCGCAAACATGTCCTGTGCAGCCAAGATGCTGAATAAATAGATGGCAACAGACATCAAGTAGAAATACTTGGACAAAAAAAAACAACTATTTTCAGAAATAACTTGGAAATACTGTTTTTAGAACTTGGAAATAGTGTCCTGAAATACTGTTTTCAGAACTTGGAAAAGGGCAAGTTAGGACACTTGTTGAAAACGTGTTAATCCCACAAGTTGGCAACAGACATCAAGTAGAAATTCGACAAACCAAATCAAGTATTTTCAGAAATAACTTGGAAATACTGTTTTTTAGAACTTGGAAATAGTGTCCTGAAATACTTTTTTCAGAACTTGGAAAAGGGCAAGTTAGGACACTTGTTGAAAACGTGTTAATCCCACAAGTTGGCAACAGACATCAAGTAGAAATTGGACAAAACAAATCAACTATTTTCAGAAATAACTTGGAAATACTGTTTTTAGAACTTGGAAATAGTATCCTGAAATACTGTTTTTTGAACTTGGAAAAGGGCAAGTTAGGACAGTTGTTGAAAACGTACTTGGAAATAGTGTCCTGAAATACTGTTTTCAGAACTTGGAAAAGGGCAAGTTAGGACACTTGTTGAAAACGTGTTAATCCCACAAGTTGGCAACAGACATCAAGTAGAAATTGGACCAAACAAATCAAGTATTTTCAGAAATAATTTGGAAATACTGTTTTTAGAACTTGGAAATAGTGTCCTGAAATACTGTTTTTAGAACTTGGAAAAGGGCAAGTTAGGACACTTGTTGAAAACGTGTTAATCCCACAAGTTGGCAACAGACATCAAGTAGAAATTGGACAAAACAAATCAACTATTTTCAGAAATAGCTTGGAAATACTGTTTTTAGAACTTGGAAATAGTGTCCTGAAATATTGTTTTTTGAACTTGGAAAAGGGCAAGTTAGGACACTTGTTGAAAACGTGTTAATCCCACAAGTTGGCAACAGACATCAAGTAGAAATTGGACAAAACAAATCAACTATTTTCAGAAATAACTTGGAAATACTGTTTTAGAACTTGGAAATAGTGTCCTGAAATACTGGTTTCAGAACTTGGAAAAGGGCAAGTTAGGACACTTGTTGAAAACGTGTTAATCCCACAAGTTGGCAACAGACATCAAGTAGAAATTGGACAAAACAAATCAACTATTTTCAGAAATAACTTGGAAATACTGTTTTTAGAACTTGGAAATAGTGTTCTGAAATACTGTTTTTAGAACTTGGAAAAGGGCAAGTTAGGACACTTGTTGAAAACGTGTTAATCCCACAAGTGGCAACAGACATCAAGTAGAAATTGGACAAAACAAATCAACTATTTTCAGAAATAACTTGGAAATACTGTTTTAGAACTTGGAAATAGTGTCCTGAAATACTGTCTTCAGAACTTGGAAAAGGGCAAGTTAGGACACGTTTGTTGAAAAACGAAATGTTAACTGGAAATAGTGTCCTGAAATACAACTTGGAAAAGGGCAAGTTAGGACACTTGTTGAAAACGTGTTAATCCCACAAGTTGGCAACAGACATCAAGTAGAAATTGAACAAAACAAATCAAGTATTTTCAGAAATAACTTGGAAATACTGTTTTAGAACTTGGAAATAGCGTCCTGAAATACTGTTTTTAGAACTTGGAAAAGGGCAAGTTAGGACACTTGTTGAAAACGTGTTAATCCCACAAGTTGGCAACAGACATCAAGTAGAAATTGGACAAAACAAATCAACTATTTTCAGAAATAACTTGGAAATACTGTTTTTAGAACTTGGAAATAGTGTCCTGAAATACTGTTTTTTAGAACTTGGAAAAGGGCAAGTTAGGACACTTGTGAAAACGTGTTAATCCCACAAGTTGGCAACAGACATCAAGTAGAAATTGGACAAAACAAATCACTATTTTCAGAATAACTTGAAATACTGTTTTTAGAACTCTGGAATAGTCCTGAAATACTGTTTTTTGAACTTGGAAAAGGGCAAGTAGGACAGTTGTTGAACGTACTTGGAAATAGTGTCCTGAAATACTGTTTTCAGAACTTGGAAAAGGGCAAGTTAGGACACTTGTTGAAAACGTGTTAATCCCACAAGTTGGCAACAGACATCAAGTAGAAATTGGACCAAACAAATCAAGTATTTTCAGAAATAACTTGGAAATACTGTTTTTAGAACTTGGAAATAGTGTCCTGAAATACTGTTTTTAGAACTTGGAAAAGGGCAAGTTAGGACACTTGTTGAAAACGTGTTAATCCCACAAGTTGGCAACAGACATCAAGTAGAAATAGGACAAAACAAATCAACTATTTTCAGAAATAACTTGGAAATACTGTTTTTAGAACTTGGAAATAGTGTCCTGAAATACTTTTTTAGAACTTGGAAAAGGGCAAGTTAGGACACTTGTTGAAAACGTGTTAATCCCACAAGTTGGCAACAGACATCAAGTAGAAATTGGACCAAACAAATCAACTATTTTCAGAAATAACTTGGAAATACTGTTTTAGAACTTGGAAATAGTGTCCTGAAATACTTTTTCAGAACTTGGAAAAGGGCAAGTTAGGACACTTGTTGAAAACGTGTTAATCCCACAAGTTGGCAACAGACATCAAGTAGAAATTGGACAAAACAAATCAACTATTTTCAGAAATAACTTGGAAATACTGTTTTTAGAACTTGGAAATAGTGTCCTGAAATACTGTTTTTAGAACTTGGAAAAGGGCAAGTTAGGACACTTGTTGAAAACGTGTTAATCCCACAAGTTGGCAACAGACATCAAGTAGAAATTGGACAAAACAAATCAACTATTTTCAGAAATAACTTGGAAATACTGTTTTTAGAACTTGGAAATAGTGTCCTGAAATACTGTTTTTAGAACTTGGAAAAGGGCAAGTTAGGACACTTGTTGAAAACGTGTTAATCCCACAAGTTGGCAACAGACATCAAGTAGAAATTGGACAAAACAAATCAACTATTTTCAGAAATAACTTGGAAATACTGTTTTTAGAACTTGGAAATAGTGTCCTGAAATACTGTTTTCAGAACTTGGAAAAGGGCAAGTTAGGACACTTGTTGAAAACGTGTTAATCCCACAAGTTGGCAACAAACATCAAGTAGAAATTGGACAAAACAAATCAACTATTTTCAGAAATAACTTGGAAATACTGTTTTTTTAGAACTTGGAAATAGTGTCCTGAAATACTGTTTTTCAGAACTTGGAAAAGGGCAAGTTAGGACACTTGTTGAAAACGTGTTAATCCCACAAGTTGGCAACAGACATCAAGTAGAAATTGGACCAAACAAATCAACTATTTTCAGAAATAACTTGGAAATACTGTTTTTAGAACTTGGAAACAGTGTCCTGAAATACTTTTTTTAGAACTTGGAAAAGGGCAAGTTAGGACACTTGTTGAAACCGTGTTAATCCCACAAGTTGGCAACATACATCAACTAGAATTTGTTCCAAAAAATCAACTATTTTCAGAAATAACTTGGAAATACTGCTTTTAGAACTTGGAAATAGTGTCCTGAAATACTGTTTTTAGAACTTGGAAAAGGGCAAGTTAGGACACTTGTTGAAAACGTGTTAATCCCACAAGTTGGCAACAGACATCAAGTAGAAATTGGACAAAGCAAATCAACTATTTTCAGAAATAACTTGGAAATATTGTTTTTAGAACTTGGAAATAGTGTCCTGAAATACTGTTTTTAGAACTTGGAAAAGGGCAAGTTAGGACACTTGTTGAAAACATGTTAATCCCACAAGTTGGCAACAGACATCAAGTAGAAATTGGACAAAACAAATCAACTATTTTCAGAAATAACTTGGAAATACTGTTTTTAGAACTTGGAAACTGTGTCCTGAAATATGTTTTTTAGAACTTGTAAAAGGGCAAGTTAGGACACTTGTTGAAAACGTGTTAATCCCACAAACACAACAGCCAAGAAACCGCAAAAGCCAACGAACCAAAACAACCCCAAAGGGCGAAGAAACCAAGAGCCAAAAGAGCCACAAGAGCCACAAGAGCCACACACCATAAAAACCACAACAGCTACAAAAACTACAAAAGCCGAAAAAACACAAAACCCGCAAAAGCAACTGCAGCACACTTTATGGCAATATTTTCTTGTGAATTTCTTCTGAAATTCTGATGCATTTTTCCATTTCTATTGAAATTATTCTGAATTCCTTTTGCATTTTTGTTTTACAGTTTGTTTGCATTTCTGAGAAATTCTTATGAATTTCTTATGAATTCCTTTTGCATTTCTTATGAATTTCTTATGAAATTCTTATGCAGTTTTTTAAAACTTTATACGGTTTGGGCAAAAGTGTATGAAGTTTTGGCAAAAGTGTATGAAGTTGTTAAACCTGCATAAGAACTGCATAAGAATTGCATAAGAAATGCATAAGAAATTTCTTAAAAATACAAAAGGAACTCATAAAATTTCACAAAAAGTTCATAAGAAATTCAAAAGGGATTTCATGAAGGTCTGGTGTACAAGAACAATCTATTGTGACCCCCCAAAAAAAGACTCTATACGTGAGACCACAAAGCAAATATCAAAATACATCAAAACCTGTATTCAAGATAACTCCAAATAGTGTTCATACGTTTATGCAATTTGAAATGCGTTTGAATACATTAGTCTTAACAATGAAAGTCACAAGCAACCTTGTATAGTTCTGAAGAGTTTTCCCCGGCAATCGCAATCGGTGCAGTTCCATGAAGTTCAATCTGGCCTCTTATGATATTTTCCGTTTCTGTCTAATTCAACAGAGTCAATGAGTCAGTGGCCACTGGGATTTCCAGATTTAAATATACCTGTATCATCAAACAACCATTAAATTTTGGTCGGTTTGGTTTTCTGCCCGTTTCAGAAAATAATGGTAATTCTGCCCGGTTTGGGCCATTTCCGCCCGATCCCAACTTTTCTGCCATATCTTATTTCCACACGTGGAGTCTCTTGCCACATCACATCAAATCATCCAACCTTCAGCAATTCCTGCCGGTAAAGGTACAAACACTTCTGAGTGTTGCTATATAAAAAGCAGGTGGTGACATGAACGTGACAACCGTGAACATCTTCCGATGTGATCTTCGTCTTGCCAACACCCCCAGCCTCAGTCACTGGGCCATACCAAAGAAAATCATCTTAAGATATCCCTAACTGAAAAGCACTTCTATACCCCGCGCTCAAACGTAGAACAGGGCCTCATGAAGAAGAATCTGATCCACTAAGTGTGTTGAAAAGCATCCCAAGAATGGCTACAGCTATGCAGCCAGCAATCAATCCGCTTGGTGTGTCTGCGGGTGGCTGACCCGCTTTGCTAAATCAAAAGAATTTGCCATTTAAACCTAGCTTTGCTGCGATAAAATACATTTTGTCAAAACACATCAGGGCAGAAATCCTGATTTGCGCCCGTTTGCGGGTTTTTGTGTGCGGATTGCGGGTTTTTGCGCCCGATTTGCGGGGCAGTTTTGGTCCGGAAAAACTTGAAAATTGACGATTTGCTGTTTTGCGGGGAGTTGCCGTCCCAAATCTGCGGCGTGAATACGTGTGAATCATACGTGTTTTGCATGACTGCCTTAGGTCTGGTGACTAACGCCAAATAAATAGTTGTATGCGTGAAGTCCCACACGCAAACAAACACACACGTGTCTCAGATGGTACATCTTTGCGAGCCAGAATCTGAACAACACGTGTCATACAGCATTGAAATTTCTGCCAATTGGCATCCAATCCCTGAACAATGCACCACCCCTGCAAAGAATAAAAGACAAAGCATAGCGGGGGCTCAGGCCTGAAAGCGCAGGCCCCATGGATCCAGTCAAACACGTCAGGGGTCAATCAGTGCCACAAGTGTAGCTATGGTGAAAGGAAGTGAAGTTATGGGATGGGACACCATGGAAATACATAGAAAATTAGATTTCAGCCAGATTTCTGCCATTTTGGGTCGTTTGGGTTGAATTGCCCGATCTGACCCAAAATAGGTCAATTGGCTAAAAACAGGGTCATTGACCAAAACAACCTTTTTTTTCTGCTCGTTTGCTGGTCCAGGTATGTTCTATGTCGCGTTCCCTTCTTCAAGGTTTCCTTGAAGTTCAAGAGCTAGAATTTTGGACGTGTCTCTGTCACCATCAACGTAGCACGTTTCTGTTGAAGCAGGTAATTTCGGAGTTCATCCTTGTCTTTGACATTTGCAGATGGGACTCTTCTTGGAAAACCGTGAGCCAATGCGAAGAATGAGAGACAGGTTGCCACACATTGAATCGTCACTTGTCAAAGTCGGCAATGCACATGTTGATCAAGTCAAGATAGTTCAAGTATATGTGTTGAAGATATTGAAGGGTGTCAGTTCGGGTGTCAGCAGTCTTCAGGCAACGCGCCCGTGGATCTGGCGAGGGAGGAGTGCCAGACGGAAATCGTGAACTTGCTGATGGACAAAGCCTCTTGGCTGCACGAGTGGGCCTCAAGCACTGCAGTGGCCCAAGGATCTCAACCGGTATAACATGATGAAACTTCTGGCACTTGTGGGGATGAAAACGTGAAAGGGACGTGGCGTGAGATAGTGCAAGTCCGGACTGGGGGATGTTTACGAAGTCAATTTTGGAAAATGAAGCTGCTAAATAAGTTTTTGTCGCAATCCACTTGCCAACAAGTGTGAGCATAGATTGAGCAGGAATCGGATTGAATTCACAGACTTGATTTGGTACTCATGCATGGGATTCTCTGTGTTAACCCCACTGACCCTTTCCAGTGCCATGGTCTTCGGAGACAACATCAAGAATATAAGTTGGATGTTCTTATATGTTCTTATGATTGTCTCCAGCTACACATGGCCTAAAGGATGTGGCATGTCACAGATGGGTATGCTTCACCACAGAGTTGGTCATGTGTTCGTTCAGAATGAGCTTATACTTCTCAACATCTCCGCATTTTGGGTCGCTCCAACCCTCCAAGGGTTTTGAAGTGCAAATGTTCTGCGCACCTTGTGGCCGCCCAAGGCATGAACCGGAAGGCCTGGCACATGGAGTGGCTGAGCGATGTCTGCGAAACCGCTTGATGTTTCTTGCTTTGGTGTTTCATGTGAGCAGCTGTCAATATTCTTGGCACAGTTAATATTTGATAAGGAGTCTAAGGTGAGCACGATCCATCAGTTTGGAGGAATGAAACATACATCTCTAGAAGATGTATTTTAATATTAAGCGCGAAATCATGGTATAATACTGCAACGATCTTGACAGCTACCCATGCTCATGCCCATGGGCATTTAGACGGCCCCGGCCCCGGCAAGAAATTTCAATAAAGTATTTTGCTGTATCGACATGTCAATGCTTCATTTTGGAGAGGCGCATAGTCCATAGTAAAGTTTGATGAAAGTTGCAGTTCTACCCATCAACCTGAACTCTTAGCAAGATCACGTACCATCTGTAGCAGCCTTCGACGTCGTTTGAACATGAACTTGAGAAGGGGAACTTTGTCAGCTGCATTGACCTGCAGCTGCAATTGGCTCCCGAGTTTATTTAATCTTTGCTGATTGTATCCCCATTATGTGTTGCTTAAAGCCCCATGGAACAGCATCATTTCCTCGCGTTTGTTTGCCTTCCCATCAGGCAAAGTTCTTCTCGGCTTGACAAAGTGGTCTTCGCGCAAGCTTCCCAGGGTGTCCAAAAGGGGATCCCGGGCCAAAGGTGCCTTTAAGCTGCATCCTGTGATCAAAAATGCGCTGCCCAACTCCTTCGGGGTCACCAAAGGGTACTGGTCAGGCTTGGGTCCTTTCAAAATTGGATGGTTTCAACAACATGATCTAACAGCAAACATTTATCCCGAAATGACCACAATCTGTGGTTCCCGGCGCCTCATGTAGAGGGGATCCCCATGGAGTTTTGCCATCTCAGTTTGGGACAAGGATTGAGCTCAACAAGTCGCAGCGACCTCCTGCACCCATCAAGGGTATAGCCGGTATCGGTATAGCCGTTTAGACTTGAACTGTTGCCTTAACCTGCTTCCCGTCAGTAGTTCATTTGTCTTGATTATGTCCTAATGATGATATGATGGTTGTCTTTCATTTTAGTGACATGGTGAGCAAACGATCGTGAAATGACCTGCAAAGCAATGGTTGCAATGGGTTGGCTTCATGATCACAGCCAGCCAGGACTTTTTCCACTGCAAATTGCATGAAGTATCAAGAAGTAAAAAGCACCCCACAATTGGCTGGATAGGTGATAATCCTTCAGTTGTAGTGATATTGCAGCTCCGAGAACTATTGGGTGATGTCTCGTTTTCTGTTCTTTTCCTTCTTCTGTGGTGAAGCTTGATGTGGGGTCAAAGTGCCATGGATGATGTGCATGCAATGCGCGATCGATGTCACACCGTTCCATTTTCAGGTTCAAAGCGACATTGGGACCCATCAGCTCTTCACATGTTTGTGCCAAACCATGATCTTTCTCATTGATCTCATTACGTTTGAAATTGGACTTTGGTTCCCATTACCTCAAATTACCAATTTCAATTGAACCCGCGGTTGGGTTGGCTTGTTGCCCAAAGGGACCTCCAAGGCTTCAACATAGCATCCACTCTACCAACCTTTATTGAATTGAACATTTTACTACTACACTTTCACCATTCGGCGGGAAGTCCTGTTGCACAACACGTGCATACAGTGATGGCCTGCGATACGTTCGCAGGGTGTCCCAGATGCTGCGATGCCAACTAATTTTGATCCATATTCATACCACATTCATACCACTCTTGCTGGAAGGGTCGCATACATAGAGTTCTGTTTTTTTTCAAAGGCATTTCCAAAAATAATCGACAAACTTGTGAATTGTGAATTTGCGTGCCCGTCTGGACAATCAGTGCGGCAATTCTTCTCGAAAGTTGATGTATCAGCTTCATCTGTTGAATGGGTTCTGATTGAGACGAAGCAACACACTTGTCAACGTCAACAATATCTAAAATGGCGGTTCCCAATGGGTTCAATCCCAAAATATATGTTCAAATTTGGACGATTTGGGGTAACCCCTTTTTAGGAAACCTTTATATTAGCGGCACAAACTGGTCATCGAAGAGTGGTTTTGATCTCTCGTCACTGCTCAGCATGAATCTCTCTGACATGTGGGCCTGCTGGTCTTGACATGGAGAGGACCTACCAGATTTGGCGGAACTTCAGAAGGCAAATGACAATGTGCAGGCCTTTAGCTGTTGTGGTTGGATGCCTCTTTTTGAAACCACACTTCGGCCATCTTCCAGTATCCCATAGGCATCCAGAAATAACCTGCTTCTGTGCCACCGTTTCTTTTGAACATGAAATCCAGACCATAATGTCCGTGGTCTTCATGCCCTGGTAAGGCCCTATTGAAAACATTTTGTGATGCTCTTCGGAAGCAAAGACTTGAGCGCCAGAAAGTGCAGGTTCAACTGGTGACTGGAGATTTTGAGTGAAGGTGACCAAGCGGTTACAAAGCAAATTGCTTACCAAAACGAGTGTTGACAAAGGTCAGTTGAACATCGTTCTATCCTGGTCCCGTTTTTGTGGCTTTTCATGATTTCATGTGTTGAATTGTTGTTATTACAACAATTCTGCTGCCCTCTGTTGGGCGGAAATTGACGATTTGTGGGGGTCTGGTGGGCTTTTACGTGGTTCCATTTTTTTACCTTGTGCTGTATACTCAGAGAAACCCTAGCCCACCACAATAATTCCTTCCCGTACCGTTTTTCGAAGGACCAACTGAAAACTGTCGAACGCCAGCTTTCAGATGCAGGTCGCACGCAGGACCCAGCATTCAAGGGCATACCACAACATGGTTGCATTGCTGGACAGTGCAGCATCATTTTTTCAATGCAAAACGGTATGATGCAACAACAATTTCTTGGCCATGTCTAGGTTTTGCAATTTTTGCCTGACACTTCATTGAAAAGTGAGCAATGTACTTGTTTGTATCCGTCACGGCATCAGAGCAGGGTGGTTGTCAAGTGCATCTCCCCATCTCCTCCCCTTGCAGGATGAAATCACAAAAAAATATCTGGAAGACTTTGCAGCACATTCGCTAGCCTGCGCAAAAGCTGAGGTGCGGAACAGAGATTCGCAGAATGCACATACATGTCATACATGCTTGTATGCTCGTAAACCATGATCTAATCTAGTGTTCATGTGGAAGGTTCAGCAGGAGTTCATGGGATTCCAGAGATGTCATCAGTGAATATGGGACAAAGCGGCAACCATGGTACAGTAGATGGAAAGATCCGGCATGTTGCATACATGGACATGATGGACATGACATAGTAGCTGGCCAGTGTTGATTCAGTGATTTCATCCAGTTGGTGTATTTCATACCTGCAGGAACAGGTTCGGGCAGTGCTTGACGACCTCAAAAAGGAGGCCGAATGAACTGGATCAAAGGACTGACAGCTGAACATGTTCTTTGCCATCCTGGCCCCTTCCTTTGATCCTTTAGGTCTTGCTATGGCGGCTATGGGTCAGGTTTCTAGACCATGCTACCGCTAGGATGCGAGTCCTGTCCACAACACATATTCAACATGAATGCATCAAGAAGCAATCGGATCTATGCAAAACCGATGGTGTCCTGTTCGTATCTATACTTGGGATGCCAAGAAACTTCGACAGGGATCTTGGATATGTAGTATGACTTCCACGTTTTCGCTTCAGTTGGAATTCAGAAGTAGACGGTGCTGCAAATTTGTTTCCTAAAGATGGGGTTTGGGGTCATTGTCTCTTGGGCCCGTTGCCTGTCCATTTTATCCAAATTAAATATTGAGCTTCTTAATTGTGGTTTGGGTCTATCTTGCTTTTTATAGCTACAGATACGGACTTGCAGAGGGCGGGGCTGGCAGGTGGGCCGTTTTCAGAGGTTGTTTCATCAGTCGAAAGTCTTTCTATCATCCTATAACATGCGCTTGCTGTGAACATGTGTGAACCAGTCTTCGTGAATGCGATTTCCGACAAGGTGGCAACGTCATCCTCTATGAGCGCGGCACTTGCGGATTCTTCTTTCCGACAAGACAATCAATGATTTGAGGCAAAGTACATGATTTACCTCCCACAGACATGGAATGTTCTCAATATTTTTGGGAGTTTTGCCATGCTCATGCCAAGGCCAAGACGCCACAGCTGAGGACAATGCTGTTGAGAAGAAGAACAGGTTGGGCCGCAAGCTCAAAGTTGAGATGAGGTCGAATAGCAAAGAAGCGAACAGCCGGATGGCCGGCAGAGTTGGTTGACGTCGATAGTGAGATATGCATGGGTTTTGACTTCTCCTTTTTTGCCACGTTCAACCCTTATTAACCCTTGCTACTTGTTGTATACGTGTTCTTTCGTGCAGCAGTGCATCTTATAGTTTTATAGTGAAATGGAAAATTCATGTGATATATACTTGGCTGGTAATATTATGCCACACTTTTATCGTTCCATTGCAACTGCACCAGTGTGCACATGCAACTTGCATGAACGTTCTTCACCCAGGCCGGACAGAGCTCCACAATGCTGTTTGCAAGGGCGACGAAAAGCGTGTCCAGCAGCTCCTGCAAAACCGCGCATCTGTTGATGCCAAGGATGAAAGCGGCCCGAACCTCTGGAGTGTATGCGTACATAAAGTTGCAAGCTGTTGTTTGTTGCAACATCAAATTTAAAGCTTAGACAATCCATGACACTGTCGAGAGGTTTGAAAGAGGAGTGGAATGCAGTGAAATCATGGACGTGGAATGCAAATCAGTTTATCACCATTTCGTGTCAAGTCCAACCCGAGGCCGGACACCATTGCACTTGGCCGCCAGTGAGGTCTCCGGACCAACCAAAATCATTAAGCTGCTGCTAGAGGCGAGGGCCATGACTGAGGCCAAAGACCTGGGCGGCCGGGAGCCTCAGAGCTCTTCACATGGAGCATATGTTTTTGGTGAGTTTTTCAATGCATTTAGCTCTGACATGGACTTGATGTTCCATCTTAAAGGCCATATCTTTGATTGATCAAGTCGCACACTGCAAGGTGGTATACATAACATACAGTAGTGATCAGAAGTGTTTGCCCTCCTGTGTCTCCAAAATCATGAGGAGGTATAGGAAAATGAAGTGCCTGTAGGAAAGGTTTCAGACTGGCATGTGTGTGTGTTCTTGTGTCTGAGTGGTTTAATGACTGGATGGCGAAATGAATGGCTGGCTTGGCCACTTAAGGCTCGCATGGTTGAGTGACTGAATGACTGAATGACTGAATGATAGACTAAGTGTTCCTTTTTGAGCTAGCTCTTTTCTGAGCTATCTCTGTCCTCAACCATCCTTTCCTTGAACAATCCCTCTCATGAAAACAATCGACTGAGTGAAGGACTGAGTGAAGGACTGAGCGAGCCCCTTCTCTGAGCCACTTTTCTCTGAGCCGCATCTTCAAGGATCCAGCTCTCGGCTGCCTCGTTTCGAAGCTGCTTCTTCTCTGAGCCAACTGTTCTTTGAGCCACTCCACTTCCGTAATCTGAGCTACTGCCTCCCAAGCTATTTTTTTGAGCTGTCTTTCCTAAGCTATTTCTTGCCTGGCCTAACTCTTCTCTGAGCTACTATGTAGAAAAGCTGTCAGCTTTTAACATCGCGTTTAGCATGCAGCCATTAAATTCGGCTAAAAGTAGGGCGCAGGCAGCAGTTCCCAAGGTGTTTTGCAACCCTAAAATGCATTCCACATTTGCTGGCCTGCAGAGTTGCTGAACGAAGTGTAGCGGGTGTGTGAAGCATGCGCTACGAACTTGCGACGCGGCTCAGAGAAGATGGGGCTCAGCAGAATTGGTAAAGAGAAGATATATGTAAGGTAGAGACAACTCAAAGATTGAGGTGCTCAGACCATCAATCCGTCATTCAGTTGCTTGATCATGTAGTTTTTCTGTGCCCGAGTCAGCCATTCAATCATTCAGCCGGTCAGCCATTCAATCTTTAATCGGACACCCATGTCAGCAAGCTGCTGTTTGGTGTTCAAATTTTGCTAAGGTTTGACTCCATTGAATTTGGCTTGCGACTCGAAGTGCGAGGAAGCGGTGGCTGTTCTGCGGAGCGCTGCTCCTCGATTGGCAACGCTTGACTTGCTACATGCATGCAAGTGCCATTGAATTTGGTCTAGCCGCAAGATGTAGGTCCAATCTCGTTTTTTAGTTCAGGATGGTTTCGTCTTTTCGAGTTTTGCTTTTCAGATTTTCGTGTAGGGGTCAGAGGGCATGTCAGGTATTGTCAGGTATGCCAATGTGATCCAATGTGGAAACAAGACAACTTCACAGGAGAAATTGGAGCAAAGTGGGAAAACCGCGTTAAGTTCTTCCGTAGAGACTTTGGTGTTCCATTTTGTTTTTGAGATTCAGCGAGCTGTGCACTTGTATTCCAAGTGGCTGCTGCACCAAGGAGGGCTCACCAAAAGTTTCAGAAGGGTTGACAGAAGATCACATCGGGACAGAGGCGGTGACGTGTTTTGTTGTTTAAAAAGTTGCCGGCTTCTGCATCGACGAAATCAACAAATTGATGATTCGTTTGTTTGAACATGTTTGGATTCACCCACTACAAGCTCATTTACCTGCGAATATTTTGGGTATCTTTGCATATCTTGAATTTCGGCCAAGTTTGTTTTGATGCTGTTTCGCAAATGCTCTATTCCATCAGGGTTGGCAAATCCAAATGTACGTGGAGTCAGTAGCAATAGACCCGTGTCCGAAGGCGCCGCTGGATGTCCTGCACTTCTTGCCGAAGCACATGCCAGCCGTGGCCTCCGATGCAAATGAAATCACCTTCGAGGGAATCATCAAGCCTAGCGCAGAGCAATGCTGGACGTCGTTCCCTGGCAAATTCAAGGCTGGATGGGATGCGCTGGTGAACGTGCCAGCTTTTGGCGACAGTGTTGCATGCGTTTTCTTGTGCGATTCCCAGTCTGGCCTTGGGGAGCACAAGAAAGATCCAAAAGGTGATGGCAAAAAATGCTATTGCTACCGGATTTATGGAGAGCGAGCAGATGCAGAGTACAAGAAGTTTGGATATCTCATCTATGTACAGAAGAAGTATTCAGAATGCAGTGATCTGGAGAGAAGCAAGCTGGAGCAGAAGGCCAACGCCATGGATGCAGAGCTTGTTTTTGAAGATGATGACAGCAGCACGAGGGACACAAAGGAGAAGCGGGCCAAGGAAAAGTTTGCCCAAAAGAAGACCGCAGCATTTGGCTGCAGTTGGTACGATTTGTGGTTCCAACGTGTGAGAGAAGCAGTACAACGAGGCCAACGGCTAAAAGTCGTGTTCTTTCCTGGTGAAGTGATGAAAGGCAAAGTTGATATGGATGCACTGGCCACAGCTGACCTCTGGGATGGTGTTGGGCTTGGAACGTCCCAGAAATGCGAGGTTGCCACACTTGAGGCACAGGTTGAAAAAGTCTTAAAGCGTTAGTCTTTCTTGATGGATTTTATTGCCCTGGACATCCCTGGCCTCAGCAGTTTGATGTTTCAAGAGTTTCAAGGCACCAATCCTTGACAGTGGATATTGTGGTGCTGTACCCTCCGACAAGATTTGACATGATTTCACCAGTAGACCCTGCAGAATCAGTCTCCGACACAGAAGGTATATAGTTAGTTAAGTTAGTTATAGAATAGCCACCCGCAGTTTGCAACACTTTCTTTTTGGGGATGGAAACCTCATGAAAAAACAACGCCGTGTGCCAACATTTGAACTTGCTCGTAGTCAGAGTCTTTTTGGAGGTTGCTGAAACCAAACTTGGACATATTGCTGCCTTTTTTCTTGGAATATCTTGGAATCGATACACCTGAAAAACGTAGCAGTGAATTGTGGACAATTCAGCCGACTTTACTATTTGCTTTGAGGTAGCCGTGCTTTTGGTAAAATAACTCGAGGCTCTGGGTCAAGGCTTGACATTGCTGGTATGTATTCTTGAGGTATCAATTTGGTAGCAAAACAATGCAACATATATTTCATCATATTTCTCTTGATAGCGTGGAATGTTGGACATGACACATGGTGTATCAGTTTAGCCGATTAACCCATCTTCCCCGAGCGCCCACAGGGAACACCATTTTAGCGCATCTGGGCTCCACGCTCTCATTTTTTCATGTTGATTTCGACCGGGAAGAGGGATGAACCACGTGGTCTTCATTTTCTAAACGTGATGTTTGTGAATAATGCCGCTAAAAGGGTTCCTCACGGCAAAAGTTTGTAGCCTTTCTGAACTTCTGAACTCATTAATTACGATTTGTGTCAGAGGTGTGTTGGGTGATTTGCCCTGAAGAGGCTGTGATTCTGTAGGCAGCCCAACCGGTACCTTCCTTTCAAACTTTGTTATTTACTACAGGGACCCCAAGGTATTTCGCATCTTCCACAGCCTGCAGGCAATGAGGAAGGAAACTGGCGATCCCAAGTGGGACTACGATCCAGTAGATGTGACCGATTTCCTCATTTCACAATTCAAGGAAGGTGATTTGGTGGAAGCGTTGGACGCGGACAGCCGGCGTTGGCGCAAAGGCCGCATAAGCGGGATGACGAAGGATGACAGGCCATTGTTGAACTCATAGATTCTTGCGACCCCAAAGTCTTGCAGTGTAGAAACCAATGTCACGGAATGGAGTTTTTCGAAGTTGGGATTCGACTTGTTGGTTACCGAGTTGATCTTTGAAATGTTTTTTAATCTTGTGGTAAATTGCCGTCCAATTTTGGCAGGCACACCGTGCGACACACCTGGAACATCATTTGCGACTGGTCCCAGACAGAGTTCCAGTCAGAGCACCTGAGGCCTTTGGTGCAACATACCACCGGCTTTGAGACCACACTGCAAGGGTTCCAGGATAAGAAGATGCTGCGGTCTCTGGAGGAATTCTTCAATGTTCAGGTGAAGCAGGTGCAGCGATCTTGGTCCAATGGGAGGCATTCCATAGCAGTGGATGTGAACATCAGCAACCTTAGGCAAGCACACAGCTTAAGGGACAAGGTCCTGAGCGGAGATTTGGATCTAAAGGTCAATGATATTTTGTCCATAGACTGGCAAGTAGGAATTGATAAAAGCGCTTTCTTGACCTTCTATGAGAGATCCCTTCTGTCATTGACGGATCTGACAAAGCACCAGAACGAAGTCCTCCAAGAGCTCAGAGATGCAGGTACTCATGAGCAAGGTGTCATTCACCTGTCTGCAGCGGCTGGTGCCGGGAAGACCTTCATAGCGGTGAAGTGGGTCTTAGACCATCTCAGAATGTCCTCGGGAAAGGTGCTGTACATTGCACCCAACAAGGCCCTCGTGTTGCATTTCATTCGGTGGCTATTAGCCTTTGCACATGCAGACAGGGACTCATCATCAAGATACTTCTCAAGTACGAGTGCCTGTCATCAATGGCAACCAGATCCTTTTCGAGTCAGCCACAGTTGAGCTGGAACCATGTCAAGTCAAAATACTTGACGAAGCGCATTGCATTTTTTGCGCGGACACGGACTCACTGATCCAAGACCGCTTGAAAAGCTACAGTGCGAGAAGCACAGTGCTACTGTCTGACCTGTCCCAAGGTTCGAGCACCACATTTTCAGTTGATCGACACTATCCCAACAGGCATGCAGTCAAACTCATAGAAGTCGTTCGAAGCACGCAGCGCATTGTTGCAGGAGCATTGAATTTTCGACTTGGCGAATCACGTAATGAGAATGTTGACAGCTTGGGGACACATGGGCCACCGATCAAAACCTTTTTATTTGAAGTCCAGGCAGAACAAGACAAGATGGAAGAGTATGCCAAGCATACTATTGCAGCCATCAACTATGTTATTTACCACTTTCCAAGCATAAACCTGAACAATAGAATTGCTCTGCTAGTGAAGGACAATGATGTCCTCGGATCCTTGAGTGGAAAACTCCGACGCCACCTTCAGCATAAGTTTGCCAAGCGATATTGCTTGGTGTCGTATGAGACATCCCTGAATTTATTACCTAGCCACTTGAGCATTGGAGCATCTGCACAAGGTGTGCAACAAGAGCAACAGATCATTTTGGACACTGTCAAGAATGCCAAAGGTTTGGAAAACCTCATCGTGATCTCAATTGGGCTTGATGCCCCCATTCAGGGTGGTTACGAAGATGGCGCTACAAGATCCTTACTATACCAAGGCATCACAAGAGCACAGCTGGCTTCAATGATCGTAAATGAGTTTATGCCAGATGGCTGGCTGGCTTTCCTGGGCTGTTTGAGGCTCAGCAAGGACACTTTCGATAAAAAGGCAGCCTTTGCTGAGACTGACAAAGGAGCAGCTGCTGCCATGCTCAAGGTGAAAGACAGTCGACGGGAGGTGCTTTGGACTTAATCATCGGGAACTGCTGAGACTCAGCGGGACTCCCCAACAAGATCCAACAAGATTAGTTGAAAAGCATCACAACCATAACATCAATCTACTGAACGACTGTCGCAGCAGAGACAAGAGCATCCCCGGGCAGTGTGTGATCCTTGATGTGACCATACGGTCTTTCACATGGGTTGAAGTTTCAAAACCGCTTGGCTTCAAACAAGACCAGATATAGATTATTTGACCATATTTGACCATGCCAATTGCAAAAGATTCGTTAAGACAGGGCACGGTGGTTTCTGGCATGATGGTTCACTGGCAAATGTCATCCACTCCAGTCGCAAAGCTTGCAAGGTTGCCGAGGCTGCCAAGACCTTAGAAGAGGCCTGTTGTCCGCACTTGTAGGATGTTCCATTTCAACTGTTTGTCTTGTGGTCGCAAAAAATCTGGTGTCCTTAAGGATGCCTTCGATTGTTTGGCAAGATCCATAAAATTATCTACTTAAAAACCTAGAGCGGTGGGTGAGCTCCACAGAGCAATCAAACCAGATAAAGTAACTTGCCAGTGGCATTGCACAATGCACAACAGTGCTGCCACAATCACTGCATTTGAGAAGGCGTTGGCAACACCTTCTTCCTAGTTTGAGCGCATCTAGTTCTGCTCAGAGTTGCTGGATTTTGAATATCGAATTTGCCAAACAGCTGTGAAGGCCCCCGTTTTGCTAGACCTTGCAGCAAACTCCAACTGTTTCATCTCTTTCACTACAACGGGTATCGCGAAGTAATACATCACATGATTCATGTTTCATCATGCGTAGGCTCTGGGGGCAAATCCTTAACAGATTCAGCTTCTCAGTCGCTTATATGATATAAATTATCCGACAAGATAAAATGTTGATTTTGCTTTGCAATAGCAGTTCCTTGATTGAAGATCCTGGCTAAAGTGGCACAATGTCTGTTTGAACCTTGTGATTCAACAGTTTGCATTCCCGTGAGTGAAATTCGTTCTCCAGTGGTCGGAGTAGCTGGGCGAAAATCAACAAGTAGCACGTTGGCTCCTCCCTCCCCATCCACCTTTCGACAGGAACCTGCAGCAAACATCTCTGTGGCCCTGACCTTGGAAGATTAGAGTGGGTTGGTCCGAAAATTGGGGATGTGAGATGCCAAATTTTCTTTTGTAATGAGAAAATGCTGATCAATCATGGGATTTGGGATGCCTTTTTTCGCGGACCTGCCTAACAGTTGTGAGTTCCACAGCTGCGTGTCGCGATCTTGTCATTGCGGCTCAGGAACCAGAAATAGCCACACAGGCGAGGGGAACACGCTTTATTGAGCTGTAGCTTGTGCTTGTTTTTTTGGGCACATCTCAACTGTCAACGAGTAAAAACGTCAAGTGAATTTCTGGTTTTGTCCTCATCAGGTCACATGTTGTACCGCGCAGCGCCGTATTATGCCATGAGAGTCATGTCCAGAGTCAGCTTGAATCGTTTTGATCTATGTTTTGGTATGATTTGGTTCTTGAACAATGCTGCTCATGGGGGGATTGATGCAGGAGCCCGCAGTGGTTAAAGTGCTCCCAACTTCTGTGTGGGACACGGACGACAACACGATCAAAGCCAAGATCACGACACTGAAATTTGATCCACGGTTCACTCAGGACGCGTCGCAGCGTCATCAGCATCATGCATTGCAATAGCAGACGAAATCTTTATAAATCTTCAAAGTGTGCGTTACTTTGCCTTAAGTCTATGATAGGTCATTGCTTTAAAGTTCCCTGAAGCTTTTCTTGGCAACATCCATAAGTGTGTAAACCATGTCGAGAGCTGTGACACCAGGAAGATTCGGAAGATCCAGAACAAGTCGAAGCCGACGAAGCGGCAGCGGCGAAATGTCTGGGCCTCAGTCCTTACTGCCTAAAGATAGAACTTGATGCTACCTTAGGCAGAAGATCTAGAAGTAAATTTGAAGTTGCACTTCAAGTTCCATAACATTGAACACCAGGAACTCCAAAGTTCAAGAAGTTCAGGTTTCTAACTGATTCAATCAAATTTCAATAGTAGCAGACTTAGCAGACTTGGACTTAGAGAAATCAGAAACATCAAGGGGAAAAAAAAGGAAAAAAAACATCGTCATTTCTGTTTCATTCCTCCGCGCGCCGAGACGACCACATCGCCCACGCGGCGGCCGCCGGCGACCTCCCGGCCGTCCGGGGCCACCTTCGCCGCGACGGCGGCAGCCTCGACCGACTCCCCGGTGGCTGGTCAGCGCTGCACTGGGCAGCCAACAACGACCACCCGGCGGTCGTGGCGTTCCTCATGGCGAAGGGCGCCGCCGTGGACGTCCTGGACGGCCTCGACCGCGGGGAGCTCAGCGATCGCCGGTCACGGAGCCACGGAGCCGCGAGCGCCACTCCGCCGGTGCTGAGGTGCCACTCCGCTGCACATTGCAGCAGTCAACGGCCACGTGGAGTGCGCCCAGCAGCTGCTGGCAGCGAAGGCCTCGGTGGACATCAAGGACAGCGACGGCTGGGGGCCTCAGCCGATGTCCCGTTTTTGAAGACCGTTTTTTTTCACCGGCAATCACAACAACAATCAATAACAGATATTGACAGATATAACAGATACAACAGGTGCAGTTCAACAAATGTGGCATGTCTCAATGACTTATGATATATCTTTTAAGTTTTTAATTTTGTTTTCAACTTCAGCATGGGATTTCCCTGGATTTATCATCTCAGGTTCCCATCTTCAAAGTTGCCTTGAAATTCAAGAGCCGTGATTTTGGGGAGTGTGTATGTTGAAAAAAATTAGGGTTTAGAGATGTTTTAGAGTTCATCCATGTCTTTGACATCCGTGTGAGCCAAATGAGAAAAATGAAACAGCGCTTTCCGCACATTGTTTCCACACGTCAAATTCTGCAGTCCGCACGGCAATCAATTGAAGTGATCTTGGAAAGGGCCACTTCGAATGTCAGCTGTGCTTCCCAGGCAGAACACCCTTGGATGTCGCGAGACAAAACGGCAATACGGAAGTGGTCAACCTGCTGATGGGCGCAGCCTCTTGGCTGCACGGGCGAGGCTCAATGCAGTGACCCAATGGCATAGTAGGTGGGAATATCCATGGGTGAAACATGGTGAAACTGCTGGCACCGCTGGGAATGAAAACATGAAAGGAGTAGGGATAGTGTGAGTCGGTACCAGGGATGTTTACGCATCCGTGTGGACACATGACCCATAAGATCCATGAAGCCTAAACCCATTGCCAAATCATCACATGCCACCGGCCAACAGGCCAACAATTGAGCACAGGTGAACCACGAATTTGATTGAATCTGCAGAATTGATTCGGCGAGAACGCATCAGATTATCAGATTATGCACGGACAGAACAGAACAGGTATGTTTATTTTTTGCGTTTGACTTTCTTCAGCACTACATGGCCTAAAGGCCACCGATTGGCACGCACAGGAGTAGGCATTTGTTTGATGTTTCTTCTGTCCATATCGATTTTTGGGGTTGAATAATTTTGAGCCCCAGATGTTGTTTGCACATTTGCTGCGCCCAAGGCATGAAATATAAGGCCTGGCACCGGGAATAGCTCTTCTGGTGTCTCATGTGCCAGTCAGTCTTTGCTGGTAATGTTAGTTAATAAAGAATTATAAAGAACTGGAGCGATCATCAAAACATTCACGGGAATGATAAACATGGCTAGGGCTAGCAAGCAGCTCCTACTTGCTTGTGAGGAGCTTTGTTTCATTGTTAATTAGCAAACGTGCGAAACTTGATGAACATTGCAAGCACCAAAACTTTGACTGCTGGGCTTATAACAACATGCTGGGTATCTTTAAACATTAATCAGTTGTCCTTGGCAGCAAGATCTCTCCAATGCAGAACCCTATCCATATACAGTTATACATCTTTGTAAATTGTTTTGGTGCAAGAAATGTTAGACATGTCGGCGAGTGTCTGACAACATGAAGTTTGTGGGAAAACATCTCCGGTCACCTGCTTCGCCTCCCGTTTTCGCAGGTTTGGTATAGTGATTCCGGCATGCTTCAATTTCGGGCCAAAGTTGCCCTTTGAGCGCATCTTGTGAAACGATCAAAGATGTGCCGTTTAACGCCGTTGGGTTCACAGGATGTGGATTAAAATTTTGTCCCCGCAAAGTTGGGGCTTTCGATGGTTTAATTATATTTTATGAATTCAACGCGGAAACCAGAACCTAAAATGATGAACATGTGTGATTGCATGGGGTTTCTCTCTATCTCAGTTTGGGATCAGGATTGAGCTTAGCAAGTGGCTGGAATCTCTGCGGTGCAGCCATTAGTTGTATGACATCACACCGCTCCTTCCTGTTTGTGGTGGATTGTTATGTTCAATTGTTCAATTCTCTTGTCTTTCAGTGTGATGACATGGTGAGCAAATGTCGTGAAATGACTTCTAGGTCCAAACCATGATTTGAGGTGATGACTCAAGTAGCTTTGTTTCCAACGGAAGAACAATCCACTGCCCCCAAAGGTGGTAGATATTTTTCAGGTAGTCTTGGAATACAGCTTCCCCGACTGTTCGGCGATGGCCCCATGATCGCAGGCAAGACGTATCGGGTCTTGTTTTGATTCCTTTGCGTTGACTGTATTATGCTGCAGTCAAGTTTCACCTGGGATGAAATTGCCTTTGAACATGTGCAATGCGTAATCGATGACACTGGTTTCAGGTTCAAAGCAACATCAGGGAGTGACACACACACCATGTTAAAGATGAACACTCGTGCCACCCATCAACGTTTCTTGATTGGGAAGCTACAGATATTCCTCAGTGCGTCGCGAGTTCATTTTAGTTGCTTACTACATCTTACTACTTTCAACTGTCAAGCAGCAATTTGAAAAGCACAGGGTTTGATTGGGTCGTTGGAAGAAGGGACCTCCAAGGCTTCAACATAGCATCCACCTCAAGCTTTTGTGGATTAGACATTTTACAGCTACAGTTTCACCATTCTGTGTGGATTCCCGTTGCTCAATGCGTGCATACAATGGCCTTTGATACCATCGCAGGGTGTCACAGGTGTGCAAGGCCATCGTGAAGTAATCTATCAATCTGGCAGGTAGCGACTTCCAAACAAATAACATGTCAACCTGCATGGGTCCTCTGAAACATAAGCTTGGACTTCGCGAATACTTTACAAGAGTACCATTTTATTCACGAAGAAGGGCCGTTTCTGCCCTGGCGCTCCAAACTTACTCTCGGAAGATGTTTGGGACCCAAAAACCAACTACTAGCGTCTCAGGCGGTGTTTGGAACTGCAGGGTCGGGTGAAACAAATTGATCTACAACTAGTTGTACTAGTACTACTCTCTTTGGCAGATTTTTCTTCATTTCACACCATTTGCAAGTCAAGACCAGTTTTCCGGATAGCTACCCATGAACACCTAGGCACCTAGGCTTCACACATTGAGATACCTCCATTGCTGAGGTTTGAGCAAGCTGCCGTCAAAAGGGTGCCAAGATGCTGCTTGGTTCACACCACCCCTCCTGGTCAGTGAGCAATGGAAGTAAGAATACCGATTATCAAACAATAGGGGTTATCAGCATTGTAAGCATCACTTAACTTATCATTGTGTATCTGCATATCAGTTTAAACCGCTTTGACAAATATATCACTTGATATAACCAGATAAATGACGGTTTATTAACATGATAATGCTTGGAATGTGCTTCGTGTTTGCGGGGCCAGTTCTCCCAGTTCTCTAGATGTATGAATCGGGGGCTTCTTCAGCAGGGCTACTAATAAATTAAGATTTGCGGGCTGATTTCCAAGGATTGTCTCAATGATTTGGGGAGTGCTCCTGCCATTTCCCCCTCAATTGTATGTTTGAAAAGCAACTTCATATGTAGCCTCTGGTAGCATAGACAGCCATGGACAATCACCGTGAATGGTACGGTAGGTAAACCGACAAACTAAATGGACCCTTTTCAATAGCCAGGTTACATTACCAGAGGGTAAATGACAGGGTTTTTCAACTTTTATCAACAATCGTTATATCTACCAGAACCTTCGAAGGATTGAGTCCAAAGAAGAAGACAAATGGGTTCTGCAGGACACTGTGAAATCCGGTTTCAATGTCCTGAAAAAGCACATATAATATGCATTGATACACCATTTTGTAGTGTTGAAACTGCATGCCATATGATTGTGGATGATCTTGCTTCAGGATTTGCGGTTTGGATTTCAGGTTCTTTCACTGCTCCGGCTGGATGATATCTTGGCCCTTGTTTTTCATAATAGACCATATTTTTTTTAAGACTAGGGTGGTACTTCCCCAATAGTCATAATCTGATACTTAATGGTACCCCCTCCAATTAAACAGCCTAAGGGTTTACTAATCCAGGGTTGACATTAATCCTTAATATCTGAATTTTAGCTTCAGATGTCATATTTTTCATATTCTGCTACGTTGTCATATTTTCCATTGAAAATAAGACGCATTCTCTGAATGGACGGGTTTTTACGAAAGAGGCATCCTTAGTGGCGCAAAATCATGATGCAGAAACGCACCAAGGAAATCCGCGTGGAGGATTTCTCGAGGTCCTGAGGCGGAAATTGTTTGGAAACTATGCATCCTGGATAAAGTTTGAAGCCTGGAGCGCACCCGGGTCTGAAAATGCCAGCAAAATTGCCAATGGAGAATAGATTTGGGATATTCATGAATAGTCCATTTTCAGATAAACCCACCTCTTTTCAAACTTCGCCAAAGCTCATCGAATCTGATCATCTGCCGCAGTAGCTTTCGAAGCTCCTTTGGAGAGGACCGGGTTGGGTTGGGCCTTCATCTGAGCATCCAAGATTGTGGAGATTTCATCAGTTTGGGATTGCCAAGTTCAGATTTTCTTGATGTTACTTGGGGTGCAGTTGGGATTATATTTTGTGGCTACAACTATGACAATAATTCCTATACGTTGGGAAATATGCAGGATGTTAGTTCAACGATGTTTCCCCGATAATTCCCTGGTCTCCATCTTTTCTATCTGTTTGGGGCTTGCTGTACCACATCTTGGACAAAGCCACATATCATCCCATATCCTTTTCCGTTCATTGATCGTGATTAAAATTACAATGGCCTCACCATGACGTCATGATGTTGGTTGAGGGACATTTGGCTTTTGAGGGACATTTGGCTGCCGGCATTGATAGATGTTATTAGGTTTCTTCATGTTTCATGTTAACTAGTTGGGTGATGTCAATTCTGGAAAAAATATTAGACATGATATCACCCAACTCTCCAACTATCCCAGGATATCCCAGGTGTCTGGGCATGACGGGTCAGATCATGAGTCGCCAGGATCGCCAGTTTGGCGTCAGTGGATCATGGCTCGGGTTTGGCGTCAGAGGCGCACGGCACTCGTCCTTCGGGACTGAGGACTGGAAGTTTAAGCAAAAATTCTCATCTATCAAATCATCCCATCAAATCATCTATCACATTGCTCAAAAGTAATTGTCATAGTTAAACATAGTTCCTGATCCTTATTGGTTCTGGAAGTTCATTTGCGCCACTGACTTTGGAGAGTGATGGTCAAAGCACTTTTGATTCCACGCAGGCATTGCAAAAAGCAAAGGAAAAGGGCCTGAGCACTCAGTTGATGGACAGCTTTGATGAAGAATGGCAGATGGCAGATGCAACCGGAAAAGGGTCTGTTTGTGATACGGCGATAATCTCCCAATCTGTTTTAGATGGCACCAATCCGTGTATCAAAAACCACTAGGCATATCTAGGCATCCTTAAATTCCTTGGTACCCCCATCAAGAGCCCAGGCGTGAGAAGGACTTGGACTTGGAGCCTGGGCAGGTGGCTCAGTTTGGAAAGAGTCAAAAACGGAGAGATGGGTGGAGGCACTTCATGGCGTGCCATTTGCAGCCATACCGATACCTGAAGATTCTGGTGCATGCAAGATGTCATCAATGATGATGATTGGTAGCTGCATCATTCTGAAACTCCAAAATTGCCAAGTGCTTTACAACCTTAATGCGTGTTGCTGTTTTATGCACTCGCAGATTGTCCGTTCAACCGTTCAACAATTACATTTTTCCAGATTTTCTGCATTCGCATGACCATCAGCACCCTGACAGACTGCAGGTCTTCCAAGAAGAAGTTCCACGAGCGAAGGGGCGGCAGCAGTTGCGAGAAGCCCAAAATAACGATGCCAGTCGGGGCCTTAGACAGGGTGGCTATGCGGGGGGCAAGATTCAAAATCCACCGAACCCACTAATTCAAGTACTTCATCCATCCGTGGCGAAATAATCCCAATGCACTGCAATTTTTCAGCTTGAAGCCCCAAAAAACATCAAACAACCATCCAACAATGGGGATTCAATAGGACTGCCCCCTTAGAAATGAGTAAATCATCCCGTCTCCTACAACTAAATAACCCCCCAATTCTGATATCCCAAGGCTCTTGCGTTGGAACCTCCCAACAATCCTCTTGAATCAGGTGCCCTGCGTGACGCCGTGACGCCGTGACGCCGCGGCCAAGAGCCAGCTCCCCGAGGAGATGCAGCCCGACAGCGATGCGGTGGATTTTGACCCAGCCTAGCATGGCCAGGGCCATCCCTTATGGAAGATCTTCATTGACCACAGAGATATGGCCATCTCTTCATTGATCATGTTCATAATCTTCTTTATTTTGGGGGTAGCTATGGGTAGCTAATTTTCAGACAGCCACAGAGATATACATTTTTTTCAAACCATAGGTCTGGGTGAGACCCGCTGGCACCACTATATACATCTATAATCATCTATACACTAGTACCATCTAGTACCTAATTTACTGGGGATTATGAGAAGCCATGGCGAATAGGGAAACTGCTTTCAAGCAGAAAAGGAGATGGCGAATAGGGGTAATTTTGTTGAAGTGGATCCATTCAAATGGCCATCACATAGGGAACATGAACAAATAAGCCATTGGAATTGTTTTTCCCCGGATTGTTTCAGACTTTCCAAAGTCTTTAACCCTGGTTGAAGCAAGAACAATTGGGATGTAAACCTTCAAACTTGGGGTTTTGCCGCCAAACTTAGGAGGATTTCACATGATTTAGGCGTGGGAATCTGGTGATTTAACACGATTTAAGCCAGAAACATGAGGATTGAGCCATGAAAATCGGAGGTTGTGCATGATTTAAGCATCAAAGATCGATTGAACTCACGATTGAACCATGATATAAAGAT